CTTTCGAGCCGCTCTTTCTCCTCTCGCCCCCAGCCTCCTCCTCCGCACCCTCTTCGCGTTTTCTCCTCACCCTGCTGTCGTTGCACACCTATTCGACCGGCGAGACGGTACCTGTACGGCGATTCGAAACACAGAAACGATACGACGCGATGATCGTTACAGTTTCAACTTGTCGAGCGTAAACTCGTTCGTTTATCGACTTTCAACGTTCGTTATTCGATCTTTGAACGTTGTCGATAATGCTGGTACGATTCGAACTTAACCCCTGGGACTCCCCTCTCTCTAGTTGCCGATTAGCATTTTCAAATTCGTAAATTACCAAATTTAATACTTCGAAAATGTTTTGGGAAGGCTAACGATTTCGAGATCGATCGATTTTAAGAGCCAATCTAGAATTATTATTTCGACCGCTGACAGGAAGAGAGAGTGGAATACCGCAGTCCTCGAAAGCCGGTAAGAACAAGAGCAGCAAGGTGAAAGACAAAGGTGTAGTCGCGCGGGTAGGGAAACCGGCACCGTGACGGTATAGAGGGGGCAAAGGGGTTGTCTGCGCCTTGTCTGCCTGGAATCAATCATGTATCAGTGATGCTCAATCGATCACCACCTGCCGATCGCGCGTACGATACCGGTCGATGGTGCTCTACCTTTGTTTTCGACTTGTTCTTGCTCCGTGGTCGAGAGAAATCGACCTTTAAATACCAAACACTGTCGCTTCGACCGTTCGACGCTATCGCAAAAAACAGGGCGACGGTGTATCTTACGAATACCATGAAAGTTAAACGTGATATCGGACCCTTATAGATCCTCGGACATAACATCCGAAGGAATAGGTCGAAAATGACGATGCGTTTGTACAGCGGAGCCCGGTCGGGCTCGTTTCCCGAGTGACGAGACTAATTGGAGGTTAACTACCAACTTCCACTTTAAACACAGGCTTCTCGTAACATAAGACACCCGTGATTCGCTTCTGTTCCGTGGAAACTGAACCCGTAAGTGACGACGGCCTCGTCGATCCCAACGCGACCGAGGATCGGATCGATAAAGGCGTCGACAACAAAGGCCAGGTTCGCGAGAGATCGGGTCAAAAGTGGCGGCAACGGGTTACTCCGGCAAAACACAATGGCCGGACGCGTCGGATTCACAATGACGGAAAATAATTAAAACCGTGCTGGAGAAGAGGAGAAACGGTTCAAACGTGCCGACCCGAGCCCGAGATCCGAACGATCTCTCGATCCAGCAGGCTACGGGGACGCGTCTGACCATGTCGGACATCTACTTACGCGCGCGTCCGGTACCGCGAGAGTTCGCACGCGGATCGACGCTTCCTTCCGTTTTATTCGAATCTTTCGTTTAGTTCGCGAACTAGGAATCTTCGGAGAAACGAACTTTGGTCACATGCTTGATCCGATCTCTATCTAAATAAAGCGATAGCGATCGCTCGACAACCACGGAGCAATCGTAGGAAAAAGAAAAATCGTTCGCGAATGGTGGGAGGGAAACCGGTTTAACCAGGTTCGCGATTCGTAGATCGATCGATAGGTAGATCGGGCGATCGATCGACGTCGATGTTGATCGGTAGGCATCGTCGACAGGCGTGCACGGTAGCCGACGAGACGATCAGACCCCCGCTTAGACGATGCGTTCGAGGTCCGAGGCCCCCTGTGCTGGCCGTGAAACCCCCCGTGGTAGAATGATACGCCAAGATAATTTCGTTGGACTCTGACCGCGCCAGGGTTCCACCACCTGGGGAATCAGGGACCCGAACCGTCCCGTTAAACCGTTTTAACAGGTGTCCGTCGAAAGCGTGTCCGAAAGAGCGCGCGACACGCGTCCGGCTCGCGAGAAACGTCTAACGATTCTTTTTCGTTCTCGTGATTGCAGTGATGTACCAGAAACGCTTAAAGAAGGAACGAAGGGCAAGGAAGCGCTTGCAGGAGCAACTGGACCTGGAGATCAAGAGGCGCACGCAGCTCGAGGAGGCGTTGAAGGCAACGGGGGCATCCTCCGAGCAAGTCAGAGCGATTACCGGTAAGCGCGAGTACGAAAGTTAAAGCAAAAAGTCGGGAAAACGTTGGTTGCTTGCTCTGTAGAGATTATCCGAAGACGAAAGACGATCCGGATACCGGAGAGTTTCCGCGGAGTTGGTTTCCTCGTCGAGGATCCGTGCACCGAGAGCCTCGGGGCTACCGTTGATCTCTCGGAATAAATTAATTAATTCGCCGACGCAGAGCAAACAGCCTGACACCCGGCAGAATACGATTCCTTACTTATCCCCTGCCGCCGGGAAGATCCTTACCCCTTCTTCTTCCCCCGACACGATCGTCCTCCTGGTTCTCGTTCGACGATAAACGCCGCGATTCTCCACGGCGAGGGTGGCGACAGGACCAACGGCAGCGAGAGGCCACCGCGGCACCCCTCTCTTCCTGTCACTAGCAAAACTCGAGCCGAGCCTCGAAACCCTTTAAGTGAAATCTCTTATTCCGATATACACAGAGAACGCGAGAGTTCCCGTTCGAGTCGCAACATCGTCGTTGCTCCGTTGCCGCTGATTAACCCTGTCAGAAGCAGACAGAGTAGCGATACTAATTTCGAATGAAACGGAGCACGCGAATACGCCTCTGTAAGGCGGTTGTTCGAGGGGTCGTCACCTGCTCGCGGCGCGGCGCGGCGCGGCGCGCGTTCGACTTACCCGCTGCCGATGATCGATCGAACGAATACGATTATTATTTCGTTTACGTTTAGAAAACGTGACGGCGGAGGCGCGTACGAGTTCGGAGCCACCGGAAGCCAGTCCGGTGCACTCGCAGTCGCAACAACAATCCTCGCAGCAGCCGTCGTCTCAGCAACCCCTTCAGCAGCAACAGCAGGCCCAACAGTACAGAGAGGCCCAAGTGCAGCGTCCTTCCCAACAACCTTCCACGCCTGAGAAACCAGCATGGGGATACGGCTTGGATCTCATCGGCAGCCAAGCGTCCGCCTTCTGGCAGAACTATCAAGGTCAGTTCGCTGCACGCTGATTAAACGTCCGTTTATGCGCAATCGCCCAGTCAACCTAGATTATCGCTGCGCGTCGTATTTCTCGCACGGTACGGTTATAAGCAAACAGATCGTAACTCGTTTAACGATGTCCGGCACCGAGTATTTCGTCCTCGACGATCATATACTTGTTACGTTCGAAAGTACCGAGACGTCGCAAGGATACTATTTAAATTCGAAAAGTGCGGGAAAGAATGATCGCGTTTTAACGATGTCGAACGAACAACCGAGGGTAGTCGAGCTGGAGAAGAGCGACACAGGGTTGGAAAACGAGGTAGCAGGATATATAACAATAGGTATCGGGTGAAATTTAAGAAAAGCGACGAGCCTCGCGGGCACCCTTCTTCCATCCACGACGAGGGAGCGGACCGACCGCGATGAAAAGAGGGCGAGGACCCGTGGCAAGCCGCTAATTCGGATAATCGCGTTCCCGTATTAGGATCCACTCAATTTTTCTGATCTTCCGGCCGAGTGACTTCGATCCTCGATTACCCGAACAAAAAAGAGGAGACCTCGGGGGCGTGCGAGGCACCGGCAGGAGGGCAAAGAGGCACAGGTCGCGTTGGTATCGTGCAAAGTAAATTATTCGAAAGATCTCGATAAAGAGAGAAGACGGTAGAGAGTGTGCGTACGCGTGAGAGAGAGAGGGAACAATCACGCCGGGGGCAATAACAACCCCGCACACGGTGAGGGTAGGCAAACTCCGGGGGGAGGGAGGCAGTCGGTTCTGACGAGGAAACACGAGGTATTTGAATAGGGTCCCGCAGCCACCCGGGCATTATGATGCGGAATCCATTTGCAATAAACAACGGAGATTTAGATGGGGTGGCGGGGGAGGGGAGTGGAGAAGCCGAGCGAGCAACAGAGAGGAGCATAGGTCGACGTAACGTCGTCGTCTGAGGTGGGTTAGGTACTTACGCCACCGGGGGGACTTCGGGGCCGTCGTGTCTTCGCGTCATGCATTCTATACGAACAGCGCCTCTCATTCGCCTTGGGACGCGTTCAACTTTGCGGGAAATTGCAGAGAAGGCACGACGATCCGTGGGATAGCTGAAAGGAGGAAAAAAGTAACTATAGTCGCTCGGATGCTGCGTCGAGGAACAGAGAATTCGCGAACGGAGCAAATAGTACCTTTAAAGAAGTTTCACGCGTACGGACACGAATCGAATACGCGAGTAGAATTCTCTGTAACAATCTGTTCCCGAAGAGTCAGAGTTAAGATTCGCGAAGGAGAAAAAGGAAGAAATCGAAAGGAACGACGGTAGCGTTTAATAGGCTCGACGACTTTCGCTTGTCCGCGGGCATCGCGCTCGTAATCTCTGCTCTCGGTAGCCGATTCCGTGTATGAGCGCCACTGAACGTAATGCAGAGTTTATGCACATCTCTGGCAAGTAAGGAAGGAGCCGTAATTTCCCCGGCGGCCACCGTGGCTCTCGGTGGCGTTACCTGTCCTCCCACTCCTTTCCTTCGGCCGCGTTCCCTTCGTTTCCCTTAAATCCTTGCCTCTCGCCACCCCCTCTCTGTCTCTTACTCTCTTACTTTTGTCCCTGTCCTTGTCTCCTGTACGTTCTCATACACCGTACATTGTACACGGTCGCGCGCACAAGCGCACACGACGATTCCTTCGCGTCCATCATCCGGCATCCACCATCCGAGGAGGAGTACAACCGAGCACTCCGCCACGCTTTAATATTCAGACTATATGCAATAATTTCGCGGCAACCATAACGTCTCTTCGTCTTTCCCACCGTTCCTCCCGTCGCCCGTTTCATCGCGACAGGGAGTACCGGCTCCGTCCTCTCTTATTCCGCCTCGTCCTTTCTTCGCCGTTTATCTCTTCTACCGAATACTTGAACGCGCGTACCTCGAGAAATATTCTTTATCGGAGATACCTCGTGCAAGTTTCGATTCAGGTTACGCGTAACAATACCGAAACGTAGGAATTGCCTTTCTCGCGACGACGTCGACGCGTTGAACGCGCACGATTTCCCAAATTGTTCGCAGTCGAGACAATCGGAATCCCGGTTAAACGCTCCGATTCGAAACGTGTGCCAGCCGCTCTGTACGCCGTGAAACGTGCGTGCCCGAGTTTCGTTCTGGCATCGTATTATACTTGCGAAACTCTCGACCGTAAAACCGGAACGAAGCGAGGAGTGATACAATGTACAACTACCGGTAGTAAGGTTGCAAATTCGTTCGCGTATCTCGATGGAATATCTGGTACTTTCTCGACGAAGAAAAGGCAAATTGTGCTTACGCTAGAAATATCCGAGTTGTTTTCTTTGTAAATACGAATGAAGGGAAATCTGGCGACTTGACAGCTTCGTCGAGTAAATCTGTGTTGGTAAGGGGTTTTTGTCGGCGAAAGTAACGATCGAAATAAAAGTATGAACGTTTGGTCATCCACTAGAAAAGACTGGCACTCGAATTGTCTTGGGCGTAGCTGGAGCGTGTAATACGCAAAAGGCTCGCAGCTTTGTCGTCGACCGTGATATAACGAGCGACGCTCGACTTGCGATTCCGTATCAGCCGGAGGGCACGAATGCACGAACGGTAATCGCGAGCAAATTAAATTCGTTTTCAGTCGCGTCGAACAACGGGAAAAGCGTTTCCATCGGATATCGAAGCGAACGCGAGCATCCTCGAAGAACGTCCGTTCATCCTCTTCGTCCTCGCATCTACGCTTTTTGTTCGGCTCGCGTCGCCGCTTTTTGTGTCTCCGCGTTTCTCTCTCCTCCGTGCACCTCCTTGATTCATACAATTTCACGGTCGGCTTGGTGCTCGAGCGCCTATCCTCGCCTTCTCCCCCTTGCATCCTCCTCCATCCCCCTTCTCAGGCCCTGTTTCGCCCTCCGTGTTCTGTTTTACATAAAGATCAGAGCATTAAAAACGCGGCGCTACACGAAATCAACCCCCGCCACCACCTCCTCCTACGTCTTTCCGTTCTTTCCGGTCCCTCCTGCCCCACCCCCTCGCTGTGCTTCTTTTTCTCCAC